ACCTCGTTTGCTCTTTTATTTGACGTATTTAATGAACAGAAAAGAAATTCTGAAGTACACATTGGGTGCACTTCAGAAGTGAAGGTGGGAGAAGATTCAGTCTTTGAAAGACAAGATTAGCTTTAACCAAACACATTAAAGATAAGACAGAATCCTGGGAAAACCCAAGTGAAACTTACTTGGCACACCTTTTACCCAACTGTAGTTGGGCTCTACTTCTGTCATAACTATAGTGAGCTGATGCATGTAGTAGGAAATGGTCCCAAAAGGATTTGACCACAGAGCAAATGTTTACTTTCGACCCTGGTAGCGAATAAAAAAAAAATGTGACAACACTCAGTCATATATCCATGCATCCTTCCTATCCAATCATAAAACTCATGCACAAAACATGTTTTTGCATAAGGGAAACTGCTAAAGGCATTGTTTTTTTATTATGTTTAGGCAGATGATGCAAACCCTCAACCACTTCACCAGCACTTCCCTTCATAAAACGTGAACTTGTGAAGGCACCTTCCTGTAAATATGAACTTCTGTGGTTGCTGCCTCAGTGCAGCTGCTCAGAGATACTTTGTGGCAAAGTACCTCCAAAGACAGACACTACTGTCAATTAACTTAAAAAAATGTGAGACTATTTCAAACAGTTGATCTTTTCTTGTTAAAATAATTAAGAAAATACCCTGTTAATATAAATGCCTGCTGCCTGTAATAACCAATAAATAAACTGATCAAATCATATTTCAGTAGTTTTTGTAAATTATATGTAAATAATTGTAAGACCAGCCTATAATATGGCATCATATCAATTGCTGAACTGAATTGAACTTGTGTCATGACAGAATATGATACAATGAGAAACATATAATCATCAGATTGGATGATCCAAACAAATCGATATTTCATATTGTAATACAGCTGGTGACTTACACTCATAGTATGTAGGCTGCTTAAGCCAGTACTAAGCAGAGAAGAAATCTTCTCAAACTTGTATAGGAAAGATGAGAAAAATATTGCCAAGAGTCATAAAACACCTATAGGTGTATAGGTGCTCAACAGTTCAAAAGTAAAACAAAAAACAAACACAAAAACAACAAAAAATTAATATCGCGGAAAAAATGTTACTCATTTTAGAGGGTACAAACTCACATCTCATGAAATCACATCTCATCAGCAAAATAATTTAAATCGCCTGAAAATATTTCCTGGGCCTCTGATGGTCTATCAGAGGCTATTTATTTCCATTGGAACAGTACCGAACTGGGGACATGATTCCGGTCACTGACCTGTGAGGAGTGTTGATGCGCAGCACGCCTGTCAGCTGTGGCAGAGGACTTGGGACCTCTAGCTGGTTCCCCGACCAGGAAACATGGCAGTTACAAAAATATTTCAGATAGTTATAGATCCCAGAAGCCAGGGCCACTCCGGTGCTGCCTGTGGCCACAATCTTATTGTTTTTAGCAGATCTGAGCTCACAAACATCCAGGCTGTCATTGGAGAGGCTCCTGTTGACTGACACTATGAACTCCGTGGATCTGTTCCCCAGCAGCCGTCTCAGCAGCCCGGACACCGCTCGTGCCTGCTCCTTGTCGCTAGCTTTGGGTTTGATATGGTCCAGAGTGGAAAACTTACAGCTTACAGTTAGAATAAAACAGACGACAATCAGAGCCACATATAAGACCTTTGTAGACGACATTTTAAAGCCACATTCCCAAGAAGGAACTGTGGAAGAAGTTTAAAAACAACTGAATTTCTTTATTTGCTGGCAACCAGGAAACTGTAATTGACAGAAACATGTTGGCCAATCAGAGACTAAGATGCTGACGCGCTCATATCTCCCACCCAATAAGATGAAAACGGTTTTGCATAGTGGTTTCACGTGATCAATCTGTCTGTCATATGACAAGAAAAAAAAAAAAAAAAACTAGAAATGGGAATTCCGATTCTTTTCCGAGATCAACCTCATTTGGCTTCATCCTTTAGAATGCAATTCATACCGTTTGTGTTTTTTACACTCCTCAGTAATCATATAGAGTAATTATTTTACAGCAGAAAACAATAACAATAGTAATGGGATGGAATATGCAAAATTTGGGAGATCATATGCAAGAGTAAAAAGTTATAAAACAAACAATAAAATGCAGTGAAAATTCTGTGAAATAGAGAATGTAATTTTAATGAGTACAATTTAGTAGTGCAATTTTGCAGTTAGTGTAAACAGTGTTTCTTACTAGTGGCAATGGGAAGTAATTTATTGAGCAATAAACATTACCGATAATAACAAGGAGAATGTACTGTAGATATGCACACATACAAAATCACGGTGATTAACTTATATCAGACCTTTCAGAGATGTCGTCTAATAAAAATAAATCAATCAATAGTTCTCATAGCTGAAGTACCTCGGGCCTGACCAACATCCCAAGACTAACAGAGGTACAAGTCAAGTGACTAAAAAACTTCACAAGATCAGGATGTAATTTACTTCCCTTAAAAGTGTTTCTGTTTTACAAAAGCCCAGGGAGAAAGAAACAACCAATACTGGTTTTCAAAAGTTTACACATCTTGTTGGGAATTTTTTGTTGTTGTTATTTTAACTAGATCTTGATAAATCAGACCTTCATGTGACATTTATCCTGCACAAATCAAATTAAAAGCGCAAACAATGAAAGGGCCAGGGTGAGAGAAGTTGCATTGATATTGCATAGAAATGCAACACTTAATCTAATAATTTTTTTAAGCAGCTTTTATAAAATTTTTCAGCAAATAAAAATTAGATTACTATCTTCAATTGATAGTAGGCTCACACCTGCTATCAATTAAAGAAAAACTGATTAACGCTACAGAGTCAGACCTTCATAGAGCCACTAACCAAAACCAAGATTTTGCTTTGATACAGTCACTGATTTTCACTGATTTTCAGTGACTGTAAAATGATTGATTGCAACCAGACAAAAGGAATAAGATAGACCATCTGTCAGTCAAGTCACTTTAATTTGCAACTGACCGTGCTCAGTGCTCTGTTCCTCTGGAAAACCCTATATGCACCCTCATTATTTCAGTAGGGTCTGGTTGTTTCATTAGGATTAAACGAATTCTGTTTATTTTACTTTGATTGCTATATTTGTTCGGAAAATGTATTGTTGGTTAAGAAGCAGAGTTCAGTGAGCTACAACCGGAAAACCTGCCAAATCCTCTGTGGTAAAGCCAAATTCTCCTCAGCCATTTGTCTGAGGCGAGGCTATGGCTGGTTGCTATGCCACAAACAGTACGCACAAGATGATCCATAAAGGTTCAATGTTGCTGAGGTCAGGCCATTCAATCCTCAGCTATCAAACTCTAGAGGTTTGAGAGGGAAACGTTGATATAACGTAGCATAGAGGTTGGACCCAAAGAATTATACTGCCACTCGTGCAGAATGTTATTCTGTACGAGTGGCATTGGCTCTGATGACAAGCCTCATTTTTCCAGTGATGGAGGTGCCGCCGTGACATGGTCTCAACAAAAAACTGATTAGCATTGGCAGAGAGGATTTGGCAAATTTTCCACGAGTACAACTCCAAAAAACTTACTTACCACATTTGTAAGAAAATATGGTGCCACATTTTCTTACAATTGTGGCACCACAGATGTCACACTCCAGTCCCTGAGACTGTTATGACATTTTATTGGTGAAAGTGTCGTAAAAACAATAAAAAACACTTAGACAGTTTCCTATATTTCTATCCCATAAAGAGAAAGTCAGTGGAAAATATTGTTGAAATATTACAATTTCATACAATTTCATCTACTAAAAACAAAACATTGTGAAGAAAAAGGAGTCCTAATTAGTGCACACTGTGTGCCCCAAACTGAAAACCAGCAACACGCAGCAGTTATTTTAGAACTCTTCGGGGTCACTGATCTGTGAGGAGTGTTGATGCGCAGCACGCCTGTCAGCTGTGGCAGAGGACTTGGGACCTCTAGCTGGTTCCCCGACCAGGAAACATGGCAGTTACAAAAATATTTCAGATAGTTATAGATCCCAGAAGCCAGGGCCACTCCGGTGCTGCCTGTGGCCACAATCTTATTGTTTTTAGCAGATCTGAGCTCACAAACATCCAGGCTGTCATTGGAGAGGCTCCTGTTGACTGACACTATGAACTCCGTGGATCTGTTCCCCAGCAGCCGCCTCAGCAGCCCGGACACCGCTCGTGCCTGCTCCTTGTCGTTAACCTTTGGGTTTGATATGGTCCAGAGTGGGGAAACTTACAGTTAACAATGAGAAAAAGCCAGAAGAAAACTGCAGCTACCTCACAGCTCCTTGTGAGGGACATTTTATACCCCAATTGAAAACAAAACACCTGTTTAGGTTGGAATGAGCTACGTTTTTAGATAAAGACCAGGAAGTGGTGCATGACAATAAGTAAGCCAATCAGAGGCAGAGCTCTTGTAACACATTTTGTATAAAATTAAATTCGCAGAACTGCCCTAACGAGTTAGACCTTGAGGTTTTGTGAATTCCATTGAAAGATGATGTGGGAGAAAAAACTTGCAGTACTTCCCTAACGTGTTCCAAGGCAGATACTAAACCATAATGTGTTATGCAATTGTTGGAGTTTGAGTGCAGTAACATAGCTGGTGGTCATAGAGCTCAGAGGCTGTTTCAGGTGCAGCCACTGAGACCACACTTCTTTCCATTTTGATATTTCTGTGTTACCCTGAACATGCCATCTCCATGGTAAAACATGGTGATGGCAGCATCATGCTGTGCAGGATTAATAGAATTAATTACAGGACTACATGCTCCACCTAGCTGAGCCTGAGCTTTTTTGTTGGAAACAAAGGGCAAAAAATTTACAATTTCAGCTTTTTATTGGTAAATAATTTTGATGTTAATTTTAACACACTTTACAGTTCTATCATTTCCGTTTATGACAAAATCCCAAATAAATACATAGAATTTTGTAGTTCTAAAATAAGAAATCTTATGTCCATCTGTTACACAAAAGATTCACTAAAACATATTTTGATGATTTTATTTTAACATGGCATAGTAGAAAACAGCGTGGCATCACATTCTTCCGTATTCTATTGAAAAGTAAGTACAAAAACAGTCAATTCATCTCAGAAGAAAAAGTTGATCAGAAATAAAATTAATGAAAAATTTGCATGTGACACACCATGTACCTAGCAACCAATGGAAAACATCTGAGTATCAATCTGATAAATGTACTAAAAGGTAAACATCAGATGTACATCAGCATCAAAACAAAAGTACCTAAAATATTTCAGACACATTAAGGAAAACTCTTTCAAAACAGAGTTTATGTTTAAACCTTACATACAGAATTCACATGGCAGAACATAAATACAGATTTTAAGCTGATTGAGGAACAGTAATAGTTCTGTTCAGACACAGTTAGGGATACATGCAGAACTCGACTTGAAGGACTGAGATCATTTACTGCAAAGTAAAGCTCATTTCTCCAGGCTCTATAGCTAGCATTAGGATTTTAGATAACTGTTTTTGGTCATTTTATTCATCAACCAACTGTGACTACTTATTTCCTCTAATCTGTGACACCTTCTCTTAGCTCTTGAGGTAAAATGTGAGGCTGTACAGACACCTAGCAGGGTGTGGTCTCATTCCACATTTTCAAAAGTGTGGCTGGTTCATCTTGTTGTAATCAGAGGTGGATGGTAGTTTCAGGCTGATCGCTGATCACCTGATTCCAATTTTGGCTGATACCAATTTTTGTCTGAGAAGTTGCTAAAAATTTTGGCAAATGGACTGACTTCTGTCAACTGAACATATGCAGAAATGACCTGGTGGGCAGGGAGGTCACTCAGCCCTCTGACATCAAAGCAGAAAAGGACAGAGGCTGATTATCAGACTTTTGCAGAGATGGTTAAGATCAGTGGATAAGACCAGCTTCTCATGCAAGTATCGATCAATCTCCCAACACTAAGGAACTCCAGGTTGATTCATCAGTCCATCCATAGTTACAACCTCCTCTAGTTAGTTTTAAAAATGAGAATTTAATTATCCTTTGTCATAATAACCCTAAGCAACTATTTTCTATGTAAGAGTTTTATTATTGTTTTAACTATTTTGCCTCTAATAAATTCTCAAAGGCCACATGTTTGTGCACAGGAAATTGTTTTACAAGTCTGCCATCTCCACACATAAAAAGGCACTTTAAGACTATTTCACCTTGTTAGGACACATTAGTTGGTGTAATTTGGATGTTTAAGACGAAGGTTTTAGGATTAAACTGCTTCGTTCTAGTGTGACACCCAGCTCTCTGCTTCACGTTGCACTAAACAGCTCTATGAGCAATTAAAAACACAAGCTGAATGAAGTAAAAACTACAAAAACTTAACAGTAAAATCTCATTATTTAACATGTTTCAGCACCTCAAGTCAACATGATGCAAGGCAGTACGGTGGAACAGATGCATTTCAAGGAAAAATACATCAAGACATTCAGTTAAATTTTTAACACTTAAAGTTAGACTATGCAACTTCTGAGGAAGGAAACAAATATCTATAGAAATGTAATATTTGTATACTATATTCTTCAGGAAACCTAGAAGCAGCTATTGACACAGTTTGTGTTATTTAGCAACTAACCAGCTCAGCTCAGAGTCAGAACTACAACCAGGACCTGCAGGTGATTTAAAGTGATACAGTTCACACAAATGTACATACAGTACATAAAACACACAAGTGTGTCGAGTGGTAAAAACACTGAAGTTCTCCGTCACTAGAACTTACAAGTGCGTGGCAGGGGACACTCTCCTCTGCTTGGGTCTCCTTTTCTATTAGCTCATCTTATTATCTCTTTGTTGTGTTTAGAGCTGCAAAAACACAGCTGGGGCTGGAAACAAAGCAATGGGATGAGAGCTGTCGGTTCCAATCTCATCACTGCAGGCTCTGGTGCAAAACATGCATTCAGAATTTATCAGTTCAAAAGTTCAAAATGTCAAATCCTACATTTCCAGAGGACAGCATAGAGAATGCACTGTGTGAATGCACTGGTCAAATATTTTAGTATTTAAATGTTTGGCTTGTTGCAAGTGGAAATCTCTTCCTTCCTACACATTGCAGCACCTGATTGAGGCAGAGGGGGGCAGTGTTTCGCTCATTTTACATTGGAAACCTGATATTTCAGGAATATTACATTTTCATTAAAAGCACAAAAGGAAGGAAATGTGTTTGATCAGTTATGTCTCCGTTGTGACAATGGCTCCCGGCTGTACGTTTGTTGGAAAGCCTGTTTATTTCCCTCAACATGGAGACACATTTGTCAGAAAAACTCAGTGTCGACCTGTAGAGTTCAGTTTGTTGGTTCCACCAAAGAAAAACCAGCCAAACCCTCTCTGCCAACACCAGGCAGTTCATTCTGATGATTCTGGTTTGGAGCAGTTTGTTGGATTAGATATTGAAAAGGATAAAATCAAACACACACATTTCCTTTCATTTTTGTTAATATTAAGCCATCTCATATTTCATACAAACAGGTTTCTCTTCAGAAGGATTAGAAAAAAAGAAAAGAAATTAGAATCATTTTTTTCCTGTAAGTTCAATAGCCATTCCAATCTATTTGGACCAAACTGATTCATCACTGGTTTGAATCAGCCATAAAGTTGAAGTCACAGACAGATGACTGATGGTTGACACCGTTTGTGAAGTTGAAATTACTGGGGTGCTGTGGTGGTGCAGGGGCAAAGCACAACCCATCTCTTGAGGCCATAATCCTCGTGGCGGAGGTCGCGGCAAATATCCCGGCCTGATGACATTTGCCGCATGTCTTCCCCCTCTCTCATTACCCTCTTTTCTGTCTAAGTACTCTCAAATAAAGGCCACTAGAGTCAACAAAACCTTAAAAAAGTTTAAATTACTATGAAGGTAATAACTGACATGTCAACTAAATCCGTCTGTAAGTACCATTTGTGTTGAAGGTCCCTGGTGTTTATCAAGAAGTCTCTCTTAAAAGTTTTTAGACAATATATAATGACAGATTTTTATTGCTAATAGAAAATAGATGAATTTTTTAGTACTTATTCACAGATGACTATACAATAATTCCTGGATAAGCTTGTTTCTCCCCAGTTAAAATGTTTCCTCATGTCTTGCAGGTTCATCAGCTACACATGAAATTACTGTCCAGCTTCTACTGAAAATAACTGCATGTCTCACCTTTTTATATATAAAAAAAACCTGCTTGAGAGGATATCAGCCAGTAACTATAGCTCTATATTCTCCTCATATGGACAAGCATAACTAAATGCTAAAACCAAACCGTGAAGTGGATTGAGGTGTCGATCAAGCTGACTCTTCTCTATTATTGCCCGCCAGGATTTTTGGGAGTGAGTGTTAAAAAGACAAACAACCAAACATAGAAACACCACAAAGGTGTGCAACGGCTTCACGTTTCAGGTTCAGGACTGCTGACTGCTCCACTGGTTGGCCATGGGCCTGCGAAGCAACTCTTCCACATGACGGGCAACATCCATCGTGTCCTCCAGGTCGAAATCTCCGTCTGGATCCAGCATGTTGTCACTACTGGCCACACAACAGAAGCAGAAGTTAGGATGTTAATGAAGCACAGGAATCTGTTTACTGACTTAGCGGTGTCAATCACACTGGTGTATGATATTTACATATCAGATATTTATATCAGTGCATACCTAATATCACATTTTTTAATGTGTATTTTATTTTGTATGCCTGCTATTTTGAATATCATTTTAAAGAATCAGCTCAACAAACTAAAATGTCTCAATTTTACAAACTGATTGGTTGTTGCCTCCCAATTGTATCAAGGACCTTAAATCATTCATTTTCTTCTTTTCATTGTCGTTATGCATATACTGAGAGCATTAAAGATAAATGAATGCCAATGTTCTTAGACCAATAAGAAATTCAATTGCTTAATTTTGCTTTGGTGTACAAAACTCAAAATATTTGCTTTCATCTGTTTATGAGACAAAATATCATATCTGAACCCAAAATGCAGCAAAGGAGTACTGCAATCCAATTGCTCCAGGTTTTATGGTAAGCTGTACATAAAGTGCCAGTGTAACTAAACAGCAGACGAGGTTATGAAGAACACCACTGTGTGTTTACATGGAGGAGTAGACGCCAAAGTTGTTGGAATGGCTCCCAGAGGACGAAGCTGTCTGGTCCATGAATACAACTCCAGTGCAGGGCTCAGGGTTTGGGGTGGTGAATCTACCAGACATGAAAACATCTTCAGTAATAAGAACAAAAAAAAAAAAAAAAAAAACTGCAACTTTAATATTTACAGATTGACTCGGTGAATCAGAGTTTCAGTTTCAAACCCTAAAGATATCCAACCATGAGTAAGACACTGAACAGTGCTGAGTATTTGACCTCATAGATTCTGTTTTTTTTGTTGTTTTTTAAATCAAACTCAGATATTTCATATAAATTCACTTAATAGACTAAGTTTCAAAACTGATCGTTTCATTTATTAAGGATGAAAAGCCAATCTAATCTGGATCTGTGTGACAATGTAACCAACTCATGCATACATAAAAAAAAAAAAAAAAGAAAAAGAAAAATCTTACTAGCCACACCCAGGTCTGATTACCATCAGACCTGTATATTCAAAAAATATCTTCAACAGAAAATGTCTGACAGTATGGAGCAGTCTAAATCAGAAAACAAAACATATGTACATGACTAAAGGAACCTGAGAGCAGGTAACATTATGTTCTCGGTTTTTATTCTCCCTCTAGAAGTTAAATCTAGCTCTGGTATTCTAGAAGTGACTTTGAAGGGGGAATCTGCTGGCCAGTACCTTCACCATCATCCTATGTATGAGGGAGCGCTGCAGAGTTAACAGGACCATGCAGTTCACTGCTGCAACATGCTCTGAAACATTTAGGTTCGACTTAAAAAGCAAATAAATAAAAAAATCAATCTTAAGAGGAAAGACATTTCCAGACCCATTAGAATGAAAACATATAAAATACTACAAGAATGGCTGAAAATGTATATTTTTGTTAGGGGCTTTTGAAGTACAGTGGTTCATTTTCCATTTTACTGTAAAATAAGCTTTAAATAATCTTGTCCTTGTCCTCTAGATACTGCACGAGGTTTTTCTTTTTAGTTCATGACATGCATTTTAATATCCATTAGACAGGGTAGAAGTACAGCACTGTTACAATCTGGGTTTTGTGGGATTTAATACAACACTTTGATACTTGCTATCAATAACTGTCAGAGATATTATGGAATCAACTTACTCTGGTACAACTTGTTTGATTTGCGGTTTAACGTATCCATCCACTGGTTTCGCTGGAAGATAAATATCCTCCTTTAGCCACCACTTACAGTCATACTGATGAAACCCTTTAAAAAGTACGTGCTGATGATCAAAACTAAGCAGTTGGTACACATACAGAGTGGAGGGGTGTAGTACTTGGCGAAGACCTCATCCTTGGCCCGGTCAGGGTAAAGAAACAGAAGATGGTTCAAGTCACTTATGCGGTCAGCCAGGGAGCGAATGGAGAAGTCCTTCGTTGTGTAAGGCAGCAGATTCCAGACCAGCCTTTCACCTACACAATTAGATCAAAGATGACAATGCTAGATTCAGTAAAGATTGGTTTCTTACTGGGGTTACCAAAACCACCATACACACTAGTCAACCAATAGGAAGACGTATGAAGCCTTCCTATTGGTAATAATATTCCAGGTATTTATAGGATACTGTTTCAGCCACTGAAGGAGTTACTGCTGCCATTAACTCTTTACTTTCTCATCTTGTGTTTTAGTGTGCATGTTCCATTTTCTCAAACCTCCAGTTGCCCATGACTGATTGCTGCGCACACCGAGCTAGGTTCTGCTGCTGCTGGAACTTTCTTCCTGTTAAACAGGACTTCAGATACATGAATGCTCAATATGACGAACTGTTGCAAATTTAATGACTATCCGAGTTCCCTTGGATAGAAAACTTTTTCACCAATTTCAATAATAAACTGAACTTGACTGCATTGTCTGATGATTGGGACTAAACTGGAATCTAAGTTATGGACTTTGAAACCGTCTGTATGATTGAACTGAATGCACAATATGTTTTTGTAAATAAGATTTTTTTTTCTGTTCAGTGTCTAAAGATGATAATTTTTGACAGGTGTATTAATAACTGATGTGAACTGAAAACCATAGCCAGTGGTTTGTGTTTTCTATCTTTTTTTTTTTTAAATCTAATGTGTTTTAATGATTCTCCTTCTAGTCTCCGTCCCTGAACATTGGTCTGTTTTGGTTTTAGGCTCCTATGTATGTCATTATACTGTGTTAACTGTAGGCTACCTGGCTAAATGTTTTATAAAGATAGCTGTGTGACCTGGCTATTCTGTAGTGTCTGTATATCCCAGTTATTGGAATAAGTGTTTATATATACACATTCTGGATTATGCGTTTCTGATTTTTTTTGCAGATAGTCTTCTCGTTTAATGTACTTTTTCAAACAGAATAGCCAAACTTCAGCTGTGTTTTGAACTGAACTGGTTGTCCTGCTGTTGGAAGGGATACAAAATCTAAGGCTACATTCACACACCAGGTCTTGATGCTCATTTCCAATGTTTTGGGGAAATCCAAATTTTTTGTGTGGTAATACAATTAGTTAGTCCCAACAGTGATTAGCATTGTTTTCAGAAGTAATAACTTCGGTTCCATCCACAAACGGATTTTGAAGTTTATTCAGCAATGGGAGCCAACAGTATAGTGACAGAATTCTTACATATCATATTAAACAATTTTCAGCCTTTGTTTATGTCATAATTTACTGCATCAGGCTTCTTCTGTTGCAGAATTATGATGCACATCTCACGTCAATGACATAACCATTACTACTTTAATTAAGAATATTGTAATATTCAATTTACATGTCATCTAACCTAATACAGCCCGATTGTTTTTTTTACCTTGTTTGTTGGGATTTTCAGCCACCCAGGCAATAGTGATGCCTCCGATCTCAGAATCACTAAAACGCAGCAGGAAGGTGCCGTTGGGTTTAGACATCAGCATGTCCTGAGCCTGCTGCTTGTTCACAAACCCAAGAATAGCCCTGAAATCACATCCATGGGGGAAATTAACCCAACTGTCTTTTTTCCTGGGTCAAACATTAAAAAGTGTGAAACTTTCAATAAATGCTAACAGTAAAAAAAAATAGACAAATAATGCACCATTTTAAATTTACATTAAAAAACAGCTTTTTTGAAAAGAGTCACATAATTCATACCCATCATTCCAATGAGGTTTCAGGTGTTTCTTCATGAGCTCTACAACGCCATCAAACCACTGCCAAAAAGTAAAGTTGCGTCCAGGCAGGTTTTCCTGTTAAATCACATCAAATCTGTCAGTTTGTTTCCAGAAATTACTGAAAAAAATCTTAAACCAGAGACAACTGTAACAACACAAGTTGGTTCATATAAAATAGCTAAGTATTATGTGGCACAGCTTTAATAAATAAAACTAATGGTAACAGAAGTCAAGTTGTGATGTTCCTCAAATATACTTTCTCTACTATCAACTTCATTAGAGTAAATGGCTCTGGTACAGTAACTGCTGCCAAGGTTTAGAACAACAAGCAGCTGCTATATTTAAAGTTTCCCCATTTAGACACTGCAAATAATTAAGCTTAAATTCCTGACATTTTATTGGTATTCATTTAGTCTTAGCTAAGAGCAGTCACATTCACCTGCTGGGAGAAAAGCTTAAATGAGAAAATGAGCCGGCCTCACCCGGTTGAACTGGGCCCAGGAAATAGTCATGTTACGGTAATCCTCAGGGTTATTACTGCTGTTTGAAAACGCTTTCTGTGCCAGGAAGACCAGGTTATCTTCCGTCAGGCCACGACCACTGTGCATTTCTGCCTTGTACTTCATATCAAGGGCTTCACAAAGCTGGGTCCACAGCACTTTGTCAGGGACAAGAAACGGCACTCTTCCCTAATGAAAGAGAAGGTGAAAGAACAGTGTTGTTAAAAATATGGCTAGCTAAGGCAGGGCAGGGATTCCTTTAATTTACCACCATTTTTTCCACTACTTTTATTTTAGATCATAAAAAGCCAAATCCTTTTAGTTTAGAGCATTTAATTGTTGCAAGTTAAAACTAAAACATGTACTGTGTTTAATGCAAGGAAAATTTGAGCTTCTTTGCTATTAAAATAAATAAGTAGAAATCTGCTGGTACATTCTTACTTTAAACACCTTATTTTAACTTCATCTGAAGACAGATATTTAACATTTTCCTCTGTGCTGGCTTCTTGGAAGCATTAGAAGGAAAACAGACTGAAAGCATTTAAGAAACTAAAACAATTACAATGATTACCATAATATAAAAAGCTGCATTAAACATTACTTTCGTGTTTTCTTGTATATGAACTGTAAAGTTTCAGATTGTAGAAAAGGTCATTAAAAATTCATACTTTTGAGGACCAGTATCTTACCGGCTCAGCAAAGGCGTTGTCCCACAGGACTGTTGCCGTGGCGTTATTGTCCTGACTGCCATGGACAATCACAACGACCGGTAGAGACAGAGTCTGCAGGTCAAACATAAAACATTAAAGTCAACAGGTAAACAAAAGCATTCTGAAATTATTTGAATGGGTTAGGATTGAACAGAACCATAGAACAGTACTTTTACTGGACTGTTTTATGGTTCTGACAGTAAAAAAATAAATTAAATCTTTTAAGGCTTCCATGTGAATGACCTTGACATGAAACACCAGCTCGTTTCCTCCAATGCTGAACTGGGACTCAAATAGAATTGTAAACTTCTCCTCTGTGACAGACTCGGCACCTCGACGATCCGAACGCTTAATTCGCTTCAGTGACTGTGAGAACAAACAAGTGACATGTTAGACATGAAGCACTTCACCACAACAAGCAGAGTGGTAAATGTGTAACTTTTTAAAACCAAAAGCTCCTACACAGACAAAAAAGGGGATGAAATCCCTAAACTGGCTGAGGTTTTGGGATTCATTGAACTTTGAGCTTTAAAGCTAAAGAAATTACCAACACACAGACTGGATCACTTTGTCAAAATGAGTCAAACTGTACACTGCAGTAGTGTTTTCCATCATGTACGACGTGATCAAAATTTAGGAAGTCGATACTAGAGGTGTGCCAATTGATCGGCCACCGATCATAATCGGCCGATTTCCGTGAAAGTGTATGATCGGTGATCACCGATCACGGTCTCTTGTTGCTGATCACCTTTTAGCAGCCTGCCTGTGCAGCTGGTCTCCTCTTTCCTTCACACTGCGCAAACGCGCAGCAACAAATCCTAAGCGATGTGGAACTATATCGCACTGAGTGAATGGGGAAGTTTGCGTGTTGCGGCAGAAAATTGAAGCACGTGGGGTGAAGCACCTCAAAATGCATCAACACGACGAATCTAATATGGCATA